ATGTGAGACAGTGCAGAGATGTGGTGCAGATGCAACAGGGTGCAAGTCTAGGAGATGTAGTGATTGCGAAGATGTGAATGCGAAGGGATGAAGAAAGCTTGCAATTCACGACGAAAGTGCATAATCGACGACAAGATTTCAAAATCGTGGACCGCCTAGACTGGCCGCCTACCGCCCTCTACCATCGCCTAAACCACCTAGAACGCCTAGAAAGCGCCTAGGCAGCCGCCTAAACCCTCCCTAATTTTCATCAACGATTTGGCCTAAATCGGATCGGCCTTTCACCGTTCAGCACCTAAGCGGCCGCCTAGGCCGACTTTTAGAACACTACAACAAACTGTTCATAAACAATACAATTTGTACATAACACCGGCTCAACTTTATGAAGCACGGTCATTGGCAGGCTGGCAGCTAAGAAGAGTGAAGGGGCTTATGTGGAGCAATATGCAAGGTTATGGGATTATTGTGAGGAGCTCAAGCGAAGAACTCATGGCAGTACAATTTTGGTGAAGACTGAAATGGAAGGAGGAAGGCCTAGGTTTCAGAGGTTGTACGTATGCTTTACAGCATTGAAAAAAGGCTTTTTGGAAGGTTGTAGGCCAGTGGTGGGATTGGATGGATGCCACATTAAAGGTCCACATCCAGGCCAATTGCTTGCTGCCATTGTTATTGATGCCAACAATGGCATGTATCCCGTAGCATATGCAATTGTTGAAATTGAAGATAGAAGAACTTGGACTTCGTTTCTTGAGCTACTCATCGCTGATTTGGGTATTGAAAATGGGCTTGCTTGGGTTTTTATGTCAAACAAACAAAATGAGTTATTAAAAGCTGTGAAGGACCTTATTCCAACTGCTGAACACATACATTGTGTTCGACACTTATATAAAAATTTCAAGAAAACACACGTTGGCATTGCATTGAAACAAATTCTTTGGTCAGCAGCTAGAGCAACCACCATTCCAAGATTTAAAGCAGAGATGACTAAGATGGAAGTTGAAGATGGATTGGCTATAAGTTGGTTTGACGACAAACCAGCATGTCATTGGATCAGATCTTATTTTAGGACATCATCTAAGTGTCACTTATTTGCATTTTAAGTCACATATGGTTGTTATAAATTGGGGAATATCATCTCATAGGCCTATGGAGAAGCTGGGAGAGGACAAACTTGTGCGGCCAATGAAATTGGCCATAACTCACCAATTACTTAAAGTGGGCAAACACAAGCAATGGTGTGCTCATTGAAAACTTTGGTATTTTAAATTTTAGTCTTGTATTTATAGACGGATGTATGTGTAACTCTTTTATTGATTATTTGTAGCATGACACTGGAGGAAATATGGAAAGTGAAACTCCACCAAATTAGGGACGAGAACAATCTTCATGTAATGCAAGTTCTTTTGACCTATGTCTTTATCCCTTTCTCGTGTGTGCTTTTTATAACCCAATGCCATCTGTTAATTTTTCAGGGTTTTTTATTTTTTTATTTTTTTATTTTTTTAATTTTTTTAATTGTTGGTAGGTTTCTAAAAGAGGTAGAGTGAAACAAAATGCAAGAGGCAAGTCAGTGCACAATTCAAGAAAGCTACCTCAAAACCGTAGAATCTTAAGGAAATCATTTGGAAATTTAGACTTTTTGTTAATGTCAATTTTTTTTTTTTTGATGAAGACAATGTTGTGAATTTTAAGACAATGTTGTGAACTTTAAGCTGGTGTTTTTTATTTTGAACATAACCAAGCAATGAAACAATATTTTTGATATGGTAGCAATGAAATGATCAGGCATTGCATTCTCTTATGGTTGCTCAAAATATGTTAAGATACAAAAGTGGGTGTATTCAGTTTAGCATGTCACGAAATCAAATTTTATATACACTTTGTAATTATGAGAAATGGGTTGAGGTTTGGTGCCAGAAATGGAGTTGTAGATGCATATGCACTACTTGAACACAAATATCCGCATGAATACCCTCTAACACAAATTTTAAGGGTTGTATTAAAGAAAAGTAAAAACTTGTTAAAAGATCTTAAAATGATAGAAATAACCCTGAACACAAGTCATGTGCGAGACACATGACTTATTTTGGATGGAAAACTTAACAGAGTTAGGGTGAGATGACAAATTGCTTAAAATTTTAGTTTATATGACACATTGAAAAAGATGTACAAGTTCATACAACATTTCAAAAAAAAATTCCTTGGGAAAATTATGGTCCCTACGTCCAACCAAATAATAAGGTTTTTGATGAGATAATGCATGCCAACTTGAGCATTATAATGTTCATGATTTTGTTTGCGTCTATATATATATTTCCTCCCTAAATGTAGATTAGGTTGGTTGGTAAGGTATTATATTTGTCGCGTTCTTATATTCAAGTTTAAATTCTTCTCTCATAAGTTATAGCTTATAATATCGTCTTACCAAAACTAAATATACTTATTTTTAGTGGGAAATATTTTGCTGAAGTATGCATGTTTGCAAGATTAAATGAAAACCTCCAAAATGTATGGGATTTAATTGAATTCTAACCACCACCACCACCCTCATATAATTAGGGCATAAGGCGAATTTAGGAGGGCTCCTTTCAATCATTTTGTACTCCTACATATTATTGTGATTCAATGAAGCTCCCCGTTAAATGAACTGTACCAAATAGGGGAGACCTTCTTCGAATCTCTGTGTCCGAAGCCGACAAACACAGAGATCCAAACCACTCATTTTAAATCATATGGTTCTCATTAGCTCATTCTAATGGCCTTCCTCACACAAACCACAAGTTCATATCTCCCTCTCTTTAACTACCTGGATATCCGAGTTCTTGAACTTCGAAAACAAAAATCCAGAAAAGATCTCGACTCCAATTAGGGTAGCTTTTCTACCATGCATGTAGCTAGCCCCAAAAATAAGGGAAACCCCACCCCACCCTCCAAAAAAAACCCACCCACAACAAAAGTACAACTATAAGTAAAGCTTTATGAGGGGTCTCTCTAAAATTGATCTTAAAATTAGCTAGTCCGTCATTCCAAAAATTGTTGACAATGTTGCATTTAAAATTGTCTGACAATATAACATTATTCCGGACAAAACTTTTGTATAAATTATAAGTTCAAACAAAAGACATTACAGAGCTTCTTCCTGACTATTTTAGGTGTATACTCCCTTGCTGAAAATTCTACCATGCTCATCATAATTCTTGCCAATCCACCAGGCAATTGGGTTAAATTGCCCTTGACCGAAAAAAATATGGTCCATTGATGCCAAATTGGGCAGGCAATTGGTGAGCTCCAAGAGGCTCGTTGAACTACCCTTGCAGCCCGTTGGCAATAAGTAACGATGGGCTTGATGTCAAGTAGTAGAAGGCTGGCCCCAACCCCGTGCACCAAACTAAACCAAACACCTCCAATTTGGGCGCCCCATAGCTGTTGGATTTTCAACAACTTTTTGATCCGAACCATTAAATTTCAAACGATAAAAGAAATTTAAAAAGATGATGTTGTGCCACGTGGCACTTTGTGACGCATTTGATATTAAAATTTTGAAAAATTCAATGGCTAGGATTAATCCCATGGTGAAAAATCCAAAAAAAAAAAATAGAAAAAAACTTAAAACAAAAAATATCTAAAAACTTACAAAGTTCACACTTAAACAAAAATATGAGTTGATATTACTAATAGATAATGACACGTGATGCGATGAAAGTAGTTGAAAATGGAAAGGGATCCTCTCCAGCTCTTTTTCACCAAATCCATCAAGTTTAGATATTCAAACTATTGAAATTTGATCTAACAATTATAAACATAACACATTATAAAAATTATAATAGGTTAGATCAAATTTTAAGTGTCTGATCCCGGTCTTATGGATTTCGTGGAAGGGATCTGGAGTCCTTTCCGTTGAAAATCTCATCGCCCTTCAAGGAAAACCCACTTCTTGGGCGTCTTCAACCACGTAAAACTTCACTCTTTTATTAGTTTTTGTGTTTAAAATTGTTGGGGTTTGTAGTTTTGGATTGAAATTTGTGTTTTGGGATTTGTTGGGTGCTCGCATGTGGAAATTTGGATAATTTTAGTTGTGGATTGTGGGGAACTGACGCAGTGGCGGTCCCATTTCATGTAAGTAGCTTTTGTTTTTGTGTTTTTGGTGAAATAATGATGAGGAGGGTGTGATAGTTGGGCTGGTTTTTTTTTTTTTTTTTGTGAAATTAGAGTGGGATCAATCAAGGTCGAGACTCTTTTAGGTAAGAGTAATGTGAAAGTTATGTTTTTACAAAAAATTTGGCAAATTTTGTGACTTGGTGGATTTGGAATTTTGGTTATATTAGATATATGTGTAAAGAAAATAGTTGAACTGCATGAAGCTTGATGTAATTCTGGTTTTAATCAATGTTGGACTTGGGAAACCTAGTGAATATACAAGCGAATCTACGATTAGTTGACAAACTTAAAGGAGCTTGAGGGGTAATGAGGGTTTTAGGTATTTAGTGACATTCAGGCCATGCTTGATGTCTATTTGATGTCGGCGTATCGGAAATGCTTGAACAAAGAAGAAAGGTGCTCGAAGAGCTGCAGTTGTTAGCTACTTGGTTTGATTAGATTGCTATGTTAATCAAAATGTCCCCTGTAGTATGTTATAGGGTTAAAGTTTTACATTAGTGTTCTTTAGCGACTTGGTTTCAAAATTTTCGTTTTCGTTTGACTTTCCTTGGTCTGTGAGGCCAATGGTAGAATGATCATGGAAATTGTTTTGTCTTAATATCTCTGGTAAGAGCGGGTGTGCATTCTTAAAGGACTTGTTTGTCATTCTTTTAAGCTATTTAATGTGCTCATTTCAGTGTGCTTCATCCGAAGTCTATAACTGCTAAAAGTAGCACTACAAGGGCGAGGGAGCTATCATCTGTTTGGAAATAAGAGCTATAGACATGCCCCGTAAGGGTCAATAGGTCTCAGTTGCATATCTAACTTGTTTCTTATGTGTTTCATCCTAAAGGTTAGAAAAGATGGGTGCTCTAGACGCGCAGAGAGTGGTGGTTCATCAACACCAGGGATGGCGGCTGATCTCATGTATGTGGTTACATGCTGGAGTTTTCCATGTGCTTGCCAATATGCTGAGTCTTGTATTCATTGGAATTCGGCTTGAGCAAGAATTTGGATTTGGTGTGCATCTAAATTTTTAGCTTCATGTATGTTATCATGCATGGATGGCCACATCCATAAGTGTATGTATTAAAAGATAAAGCACACGACATAAGTTGTGGAATAATAAATTAGTTACCAAGTGCAAAACTTCTTTCATAAATCTAGAAGAGAAACGCTTTCCGGATGGCTTTAGCTACCTTGCAATTAATCTATAGAGGAAATCTATGCATTTGTTTATTGAATTGTAACCTAGAGTAGTGGTCATGTAGTGCTGGTTGCATTATAACTTACACCGGTATGTTGTTTGGTTTGATGGAAACAAGAGGACGTTTTATTCAGCGGTGAGCAAAGAAAAGAGTATACACCGAAGATGCGGTTCAAACTGTAGTTTTAGACATAGATTTCCATTTTACAAAATAAAATTGCTTGAAACAGAAGCTGAGAGATTATTTCAGTTTTCCATCACATCGGTGGGAACAAAGATTGTTTTGGATATCCTGTACATGTAGACATGGCGCCTCAATTTGAAATGTTTCAAGATGCCGTCTATTTGAAAAGATTTAAAAAATAATAGTTTGATGCTGATCTACATCATGTACAGTTGTTTTGATGAACTGTTTTAACTAATTGGTTTGAAATTCTAATGTTTTTCTGATTTGTTTTTTGGTAGTTCGAATTGGTTTCCTATATCTCATGTCTGATTTTGGTGGGAGTTTGCTTTCAGCTCTTTTTATTCAATATGGTATTTCTGTTGGTGCTTCTGGTGCACTTTTTGGTTTACTAGGAAGCATGCTTTGAGAGCTCACATGAAATTGGACAATGTATGTAAATAAGGTAAATAAAATTCTGTATGCTCAATGATGCACCTCTTTATACTTTATAGTATGTGCACGACCGTTTGATCTTACAGTTTCAGATTTCGATTGGCAGTTAGCAGCATTGCTTACTCTCCTTTTCATCATCATAATAAACTTAGCAGTGGGAATTCTGCCACACGTGGACAACTTTGCTCATATTGGAGGATTTGTCTCTGGATTTCTTCCTGGATTTTTGTTTTTGATCCGCCCCCAGTTTAAATGGCTTACCCAACGGAATGCTCCCCTGGATGTGTTACTATTCCAGTTAAATCTAAACACAAGATGTATCAATATGTGTTGGAAGAATGCATGCAAGTCATATCTTGTGTTAAAATGCATGCATGAAATAAACATGTTGGATGACTAGTGAAGTTAGGCTAGTCAACATTCTTTGTGTAAAATGCATGCATGAAATAAACATGTTGGATGACTAGTGAAGTTAGGCTAGTCAACATTCTTTGTGTAAATTAGGTAAGTTAGGCAAGTTAGGAAATTAGGTAAGTTAGGCAAGTTAGGCAAGTTAGGCTTATGTCTACTTTCTTTTCCTATATATATGTTTCATTTGTAATTGTTTCTTAATGAAATACACATCAAAAATTCTACATGGTATCAGAGCAGGTTCATTTGTAACCTGTCTCTGCCATTCTTGCTGCTGCAATTTTTTCTTTCTTTCAAAGTCTAAGTCATGACTGAAGAAAGTTCTGTGAATCATGATGAGGAAACCCGGCACAATCTCTCTCTAAACTTCTCAGACGTTGAGGTTAACACCAATCAACGTTTGTGTTCAGTTCTCTTGAACGAGTTCAATTATCTTCCTTGGTCCCGAGCTGTTTCACTAGCTCTCGGAGGCAAAGGGAAGTTAGGGTTTGTAAATGGAAGCGTGGAAGCTCCAGACAGTTCTTCCTCTACATACAATGCATGGCTCTGCAAAGATCAACTTGTCATGTCCTTGCTGCTCAACACCATGGAGAAACATGTTGCTGAAATTTTTAGCTACTCCAATTCCGCACATGATCTTTGGAAAGCTTTGCAGGATATGTATGGAAATCAAAACAACTATGCACGGGTCTTCCAATTAAAGAAGGACATTGCCAGTGCTCAACAAGAAGGGAAAGCATTTGTTCAACACCTTGGGAGCCTCAAAGCCATGTGGAATGAGTTGGATGTATATCTCCCTCATACCACAGATCCTACCATTCTCCTAAAACGAGCTGAGGAAGACAAAATTTATCAGCTGTTAGGGAGTTTGAGCTCTGAGTACGAGGACCTAAGGAGTCACATCTTGATGAGTCAAGACCTGCCTACCTTCAACAATGTTTGTGCAACTATCCAACGAGAAGAAGCAAGGAAGAAGGTTATGAATGTTGATCACAATCCTAGATTAACAGAGACTCGGGCATATGCATCAAAGTACAAGAACTCAGAAGCCAAGGTATACAAGGGAAGAAACACACATCTAAAATGCAAATATTGCAATGGTGTTGGTCATGAGGAAGACAAGTGTTGGGAACTCCATCCTGAACTCAAGCCTAAGTTCAGCAGCAAAGATGGAAGGATGATACCAAGGTCCTCACAACAATTTCAACCTCATTTCAAGGCACAACTTGCTAATGCTCACGCTCCTACTATCTCACAAGGATCCATGGAGTTCACTGCCAATCCATTGTCATTGATCAATGAATTTGCAGCTTACCTACAAAGTAAGGGGCACGGAGGAGGCTCACATGGTCAAGGCAATGAAGAGGGTAGTCACACAGCTATGTTGGGACAATTTGCCGGATTTCTTGCTGGAAATGAGAAAGTTCCAAAGGGAGAAGCATCAGGTATACTCAAAGCCTTTACTACTGCCCTATTAACTAGTACTGAAATTGATTGTTGGATAATTGATTCAGGCGCCACAGATCATATGACAAACAAAGTTACAAATTTACATCATTTTAAAAAATTTTCAAGCCCCTCACATGTGTCTGTTGCAAATGGAAAAAATGTCTTAGTTTTGGGAAAAGGAGAAATAAACTTACTCTCTCAAAAAACATCTTCCACTGCCCTCTATGTACCAACCTTTCCCTTCCAACTTTTGTCAATTGGAAAGATCACCAACACCTTAAACTGCCGTGCTATTTTCTCACCAAATAAAGTAATGTTTCAGGATGTTCTCACCATGAAGATGATTGGTGAAGGGGTCTTCATAAATGGACTTTACTACCTGTGCAAGAATGCATGTTTCACTCAGGCTCTTCAAGCTCAATCGAAGTCCATAGATGAAAACCAACTTTGGCATAGGAGATTAGCTCACCCTTCTGAACTTGTCTTGTCGAAACTGTTTCCAAATTTTTGTAACCCCTATCCTACTTGTGATACTTGTCAATTTTCTAAGTTTACTAGGCTACCTTTTGGTAATTCAATGTCTAGGACAAGTAAACCTTTTGAAATGGTACACACCGATGTATGGGGACCTGCAACTGAATCAATGGAAGGTTTTAAATATTTTGTTCTATTTGTTGATGATTTTCTCTCGAACAAGTTTTCTATATCTTTATGAAATCAAAAAGTGAAGTCCCTACCATTTTCAAAGACTTTCACATGCATGTTAAAACGCAATTTCAATCAAACATTAAGGTTTTAAGGTCAGATAATGGCACTGAATTTCTATCCAACAACATGCTTCAATACATAAGTTCTCAGGGTATCATACATCAAACCAGCTGTGTGGGGACTCCCCAACAAAATGGAGAGTAGCCGAGAGGAAAAATAGAGATCTCTTGGAAAAAAACTCGTGCTCTCATGATTCACATGCACGTTCCAAAGAAATTTTGGTCGTTTGCCATCCTTACTGCCACTTATCTCATCAATCGACTTCCAAGTCGTGTGCTAGGGTTTAAATCTCCCTATGAAGTTCTCAAGGGGAGGAAAAATAGATTTGACACATCTCAAGGTGTTTGGTTGTGTGTGTTTTTGTTCACATCCAAACCTTGAACCGTGACAAACTAGATGCCAGGGCAACCAAGTGTGTGTTTATGGGATACTCGACCACTCAAAAGGGATACAAGTGCTTCAATCCAGTCACTAAGAAGTGCACAGTTTCAAGAGATGTGAAGTTCGAAGAAGACTATCCCTATTTTACAAGTCAGGGGGAGGATTTAGTTGACATGTTCCCACTCCCTCAAAACTTTAATTATCCGATGTTGGAAAAGAGATCAGTCATTGTAAGTCCAGATTGTGAAGAAGTTCAAACTGACCAAATTACTGCCAGTGAGAGTGAAGACGAGCCCAACTCTGATCCTTCTCCGCCCTCTACAGAGTCTCAGGTGATTAAAAGAAATCCTCCTCGAATCAGAAAACCTCCAGCTAGGTTGCAGGACTATGTTACATATGCCTCACGACATCCAATCAATGAATGTATCAGCTTTAGTAAGTTCTCAACATCTCATGCTGCATTTCTCAGTGAAATTGATAAGCACTATGAACCAAGAAGCTTTCAAGAAGCTTCTCTTCTCCCACAATGGAACCAAGCCATGAAAGAAGAGATTCGTGCACTGGAAGAGAATTGCACCTGGAGCCTAGTTCAACTACCACCAGGAAAAAAGGCTGTTGGAAGTCGTTGGATTTACAAGACTAAATTCAAAGCTGATGGATCTATCGAGAGACACAAGGCTAGACTTGTGTTGCTCGAGGTTTCACCCAAACCTTTGGTGTAGATTATAAGGAAACATTCGCACCGGTGGCCAAGATGAACTCAGTCAGGGTTTTACTGTCAGTTGCAATCAATTGTGGATGGTCACTCTACCAAATGGACGTGAAGAATGCTTTCCTTCACGGCGAGCTGCAGGAAGAAGTGTATATGCAACCTCCTCCAGGCTATGATGGTATTAAAGGCAACATGGTTTGTAAATTGCACAAGGCCATATACGGATTGAAACAATCACCAAGAGCTTGGTATGCCAAGCTCAGTTCTGTTCTGGAAAAGGCTGGATTCATGCGAAGTAATGCTGATTCTTCGTTATTTGTAAGAACTGGCACCAGGGGGAAGTTGGTGGTCCTCGTCTATGTTGATGATCTTATCATCACTGGAGATAATACCGTGGAGATTGAGGCACTAAAACTCTCACTACATCAAGCTTTCGCTATCAAAGATTTGGGGAGGTTAAAGTATTTTTTGGGGATCGAAATGGCAACATCTTCAAAAGGACTGTTTCTACATCAACGGAAATATGTATTGGACCTCCTTCAAGAAGCAAAAATGCTTGATTGCAAGCCTGCTATCACTCCCGTTGATTGTAAACTGAAGCTCAGCATAGATGGAGAAGCCATGCATGATGTAAGCTACTATCAACGATTAGTAGGCAAGCTCATATACCTCACTATCACTCGTCCAGATATCACATATGCAGTGAGCTTGGCTAGTCAGTTCATGCACTCTCCCACTGTTGATCACCTTAACCTTGTTAAGAGAATCCTTCGTTATCTTAAGGGTTCAATTGGGCAAGGAATTACAATGCATAACAATCAGTCCACTGTCATTAGTGGCTACACAGATGCAGACTGGGCAGGTAATGCAATTGATAGGAAATCAATCACAGGCTATTGTACATTTGTTGGTGGAAACCTTGTCACATGGAAGAGTAAGAAGCAACAAGTAATTGCTCGTTCCAGCGCAGAGGCTGAGTATCGAGCCATGGCAGCCACTGCGTGTGAACTCATTTGGCTTAAAGGGCTTCTTTCAGACTTAGGGTTTCCTAGTTCTACTCCTATGACGCTTATGTGTGATAATCAGGCAGCCATGCACATTGCTGCCAATCCTGTGTTCCATGAAAGAACCAAACAACATATTGAAGTGGATTGTCATTTCATCAGAGCTCAAGTTCAAACGCAAATCATCCGGACCATGTTCACACGAAGCCATGATCAACTAGCAGATCTTTTTACAAAGGCACTAGCATCATCTCAGTTTCATCGGTTATTGGGCAAGCTT